GGTACCCTGACCAAAACTATACATTTTGTCAATTAGTACATGAATGTCAGAATGAGTTTTTATTCGTGCAACTAGTCATTAGCTAATTAGCATCTGTTAAGATGAGCACCCATCAGTGAAAATGAGCAATAATCAAGATATTTGGATTCTCTTGCATGAACAGGTTATAAGAATATAACACATCCTATTAAAAACTTAGTTCAAAATGGATCATGGAACTAAATGTAAACCTAAAACTCTAAAACTTCCAGAAAATTTTTGTGACTTTGTTTAGGCAAAGATTTTTTTAAATATGACCCCAAAAGCACCATCCATAAAAGAAAAAAATAAGTGAAACTCATCAAAATTAAAATCCATTATTTCAAAGACATTGCTAAGATGAAAACACAAGCCAGAGATGGAGAGAAAATATTTGCAAAATGCATATCTGATAAAAGACTTATATCCAGGTATATAAAGAACTCTCAAAACTTAATAAGAAAAAAAAACAACCCAATTGTAAAAATGACAGATGATATGAACAGATACTTTATCAAAGATATATAGATGGAAAATAAGCAATGAAAATATGCTCAATATCATTACTCATTAGGAAAATACAAATTAACAACCACAGTGAGATACCACTATACATCTATTAGAATGACCAAAAGAAATTTTTTTTTTTTAAACTGACAACGCAGAGTGCCAGTGAGGATGCGGAGCATCTGGAACGCTTATTGCCAGTAGGAAAGCAAAATGGCACAGCTTCTTTGGAAAACAGTTTGGCAGTTTCTTATTAAATTAAACATACACTTACTGTACAATCCAGCAATCCCACTTCTAGGTGTTTACTCAAGAGGAATGAAAATTTATATTTACACAAAAACCTATAGATGAAGTAGCTTTATTCATAGCCACCCAAAACTGGAAACAACCTAAATGTCAACTGGTGAATGGATAAACTGTGGTATGTACTCGTTCAGTAGAAGGCTGCTTGCTCAGCAATAAAAAGGAATGAAAAAGAACATACATAAATCTCAAATGCTTTATGCAAAACAAAAGAGCCAAACCCAAAAGGCTACATACTGCATGACTCCATTTACATGGCATTCTGGAAAAGACAAAACCTAGAGACAGAAAATAGATTAGTGGTTGCCAAAGGCTTAGGGGTAAGTAGGAATTGACTGCAAAAGGGAACAGGGGAATTTTGTAGGTGATAGTCATGTTCTATAATTTCATAATGGTGGTGGTTATACAACTGTATGTGTTTGTCAAAACTCAAAGAACTGTATACTAAAAAGGGAGAATTTTACTGTTTATAAATTATTTCTCAGTAAACCTGACTTTAAAAAAAGAAAGATGACAGGCAAAGCCTGCGGTTGCAACATTAGGGATAATGCCTAGGGCTTTTGAAGACATTTGTTTAAGAAGATTTCTTGTTCCTGATGCCAACTGTAGGGATAACAGAATGCCGACTCTGGTTTATCATCCTTTCTCCCCCCAGTGAACCTTGCATGCAAGATCAGACATAGCACCTAAAAAGATGGAGAGTTAGGGCTGTGCTGGGCTTACAGATCAGTGTGTTTGAACTGTGCCTGCCAATGGATGGTATTGGTTTTGGGTTTTTGGTTTATTTGCTTTTGGGGGATTTTTTTTTTCCCCAAAAAAGTAAATGCCTGTATGTGTGGCAGAATTTGGACTGAAACTTATTCCAACTTAAAAAAGCTATGGAGGTGTAGCCATTCCTTACCTACCTCAGAGTTATTTGGCAGCTACTAATATCTACCAGAAAGAACCTAAGAATTGTGTATAACCAAACTGACTCAGGCCATTTCAACACAGAAATGCCCTCCTTCCTCAAGCTCACTCAGATGCCCTCTATGAGACTTAAGTATCACCTCCTGTCATGTACCTTTTCTGATACCCTGTGGCAAATTTCCATGGCACCTGCGTAGACATGCTTGGAATGAGACCATATTCTTTTTTAGTTGTTTTTTCTTGATCTGCCCCACTAGGCTGTGGAGTTTTTATGGGTACAAATTATCCTATATTCCCAGGGCCTAGCATAATTTCTAACAAATATATAGATGTTCAGAAAGTGATTTATTTAACTAATAAATTTAACAGTAATAAATATGTCTAATAATAACAGCCAACACTGTGTTCAGCGTATACCACTTTCTGTGTAGTAGTTACTCACAGCACCCTGTAAGGTCGGTGTTATTATCATCCCCATTTCACAGGTAAGGAAACTGAGGCATAGAGAGATAAAGTAACTTGCCTAAAGTCATACAGCTGGTAAATGTTGGAACTGGGAACCAAAGCCAAAGTAGTTGCCTTCCAAAACCTATACTTTTAAGATTTGTAAACTCTGCCTCTCATTTTCATTGCAACAGTATCTGTTTTAAGATATAATGCCTTTCACACTTTGCATACAATCCTGGCATTGAAAAGAATTTTAGAACTCCTTACTATATCAACACTGTATGTATTAAACAAGCCAAAATCATAGAAGCCAGCTTGTTCCAGATCGCTGTTGTTCTTTAGAATAACTAAGATGGCTTTCTGGTTAAAAAGATGGGAGGTAGTTTACATAAAAATTTATAAGGCCACTGCTGCTTCAGATATTTTTGTTCTCTGCCCCAAGAAGAACATTATCTTCACTGGAAAGATTTATTATTAACTGCTCTTCCCATCTCTCTCTTTTTCAGGGTTCACTGTTTCCACTATCTCATCCCTCTTGCAAAGGAGGGAAACTATGCCATTGTTGCTAATGTGGAAAGCATGGACTATGACCCTCTGGTGGTCAAGCTTAACAAAGATATCAGTGCCATTGAAGAGGCCATGAGCTCCAGCCTTCAGCAGCACAAGTTCCAGTATATCTTTGAAGGTCAGACCCTGCTTCTGTCTCTGGGGGTTTGAAAGGAAGGAAGGGCGAAGGTTTCCCTGAGATTCTATATTATTGACGATAAAAACTTACAGAAAAAGTTGTCTGTTTGCTTGTTTGTTTGTTTGAGCTAAATCTGCAATACCTGGCCTCTCTGTGTATGACTAGTTAGACAACAATATGGCTGCCATCTGCTCCTGGTTGATAAGGAGATTTAATCCAAGATAAGGCAGATGGCTGCCTCCCTGACATGCCACTGATGAGATTTGAGCGAATGTGTGGAGTGGGCCATGAATTAACTCAAGAGGAGCTTATTAAAGAAAAAGAAAACACGCATACACAATGAGGAGAGAATCCTGAAAGACCCCTCATTGGCTAAAGTTATCGCTGGAATGGGAAGTTTTCTCACAGAATGCGTTACCGTCTGAAAGAACAGAAGCCCTGATTAGGAGGGATGTTTAGGAAGGCTGCATCCAACGCCTTCGGGGGCAGGCAGGCAAGGAAGGGTGCGAGAGGCAGCAAGTACCACCCAAAGACATTTGTATTCACAATTTTGAAAAATGTGCCACCAGCCAAATATTTTTCATGGTAAATTTCACCCATAGGACCCCTGTTGGGATTTCAAATTACATTCCCTTTTTACTTGTTTTGGTTTGTTTGTGTGTAGCACTAGATGCCAAAAGGATCTGTGTTCTCTCACAGAATAAAACCAATATTATTTAAAACAATTAAGAAGGTACACTGTCCACAGTATTGTGGCAAACTGACAATACATGACCAATGCTTGCTTCATATAACAGTTATATTCCAGCAAGTTTGGACACACCCCAAATTCTATTTCCCCATTAAATTATAAAGATGGAAGTATAAACGATGCAGATGTGCTCTGATGGGGAACATCCCTGAAAGACTTTAGCCAAAAAGTATAAGTGATTAAAGGGTTAGCCATTAGTTAGCCCCATGGCACTGTGAATTATGTGGCATCTATACTACTCTGCAGCTTGAAGCTGCAGTGACCATCTGAGAATTTGCTTTTGTCTTAATACGCGGAGTTTCCTCTTTGCTCTTGACTGTGACTCTTCCCAGCTCTGAGTTTCATATTAGAAAATGTATTTCTTTAATATACTTCTTATAACTTATTATTATTTCTTTGTAAACAATGCACCCCCTCATTGCCTACACTTTGGGCAGACCACATTATACCATGGCAGAAAAGAATTATACCTGAAGTTATGGGCTCGAAAGAATGACACCAAAACTTGACCTACAGAGATTTATCAGAGAAATAAGTTGTCTAGCTTTAAATGTACAATCCATGTACATTTACAAAAGTAAAATCCTTTTTCTTTCACTTTCAATTAGCACAGACAAGTTCGTGGTCTTGAGGCTATGTTGGGTGAGTGTAGCTGAAGCAGGGGAATGCATCTTCTTGCCTCATTTTCTGCCTCCACCTTAACCTAGGGAAAAGTCATTTTGAAGACAGACAAAGCCATTTAACCTAAAGATGAACCTGACACTTGCATCCGAACCTTTGTGTCTCTATGAAGGGACTATGACTTCCAAAGAAGAAAATAACAAAAGTAGGAGACTGCTTGGGACTAGCCAGACCAGCTTTAGAATTCCTAGGAAAATGTCCTACTAGAGTCCAACTTTGCAAGAATAAGAAAAGAAAGAACGAATACACGTTTACTGAATTTCATTTAGAATTAAAATCTAACTTTTAAAAATAGTAACCCATATGCACTTCACGTTGTTCTGAACCAGCATTTCTCAACTTAATTACATGGGATATCCCAAAGGGGACCTGTTAGTTTGTTGATGTCCTGAGCTGCCCTTTGGTAAATTCCATAGGCCGTAAGACAACCCTTCAGATGTGAGAACAAACCATGCATGGGACCCCAGAATAGGTGTCTTGTGCAAATTCAACAGCCAAACATACGATCTACTTTTCCTTCGCCCTTTGCTTTGATTACATTCTCTCCAATTACTGTTTTGGAAATATACCCCATTGCCAATGTTGGAATGCATTAGCATTATTGCCAATAACCCAGTGTCTTACTGATTTATTTTTACTTGTCAGTGTCAAAGTATATTAGCATTATTGCCAATGCCCAATTTCACATTGATTTATTTTTATTTAGATAGGCTCCTGGTCAACTTTTGAGCCAAAAATGCCCCCCTCTGTTTTGTGGGAGGAAGGCAAGGCCAAAAAGATCATTGAATGTACATGTGCTCTTCTCTGCTTCCCAATTATCTATACAGAAAAGCAGGAGTTCCTATGCATGTTAATAGTTTATAACAACCTGGCATGTTCTCTAAGCCCTTGCCATGGTGGCAGTAGGTGCATATGCCAATGCTGGATCTGTGGATATTCCAGGTTTTGTTGCCAGTGTAAAGTCCACCCATGTACAACTACTAGGACAATGTAGAAATACTATGAAATTGCTGTAAGATCAGCAGATGCAGCCATCAAAGACACGTTTTCTTTGGTCATTTAAATTTATGGAGGGTTAGAAGAGAGCAATTCTGTGCGTGAGTTTCTGCAGGATACCACTCATCTGTCTTCTCTTCTCTCCCCACTGCTCTGTGCGGATCCCTCAGGCCTGGGCCACCTGATCTCCTGCATCCTCATTAATGGGGCCCAGTACTTCAGGCGCATCAGTGAGTCCGGCATCAAGAAAATGTGTAGGAACATTTTTGTTCTTCAGCAGAATTTGACCAACATCACCATGTCACGGGAGGCCGACTTGGACTTTGCAAGGTAGGAGGGGAGATTGGGCCAAAGTCTTGTACCAAAGCCAAGACTTCATTGCCTAGAAAGTCATTTTTAAAGACAGACTTTTGGTACTGAAAAAATTTTAAAAAAGAAAGAAAGGAAGAAAGAGATAGATGTTCTTAGGTCATAGAGAAGGTAATTCTACAAAATTCTATTGAATATTTGACATCACTGAGGCAGGTAGTTTTTCCTGCTGTCTAACCAAAGTTCTTCTTACTACAAAACTTTAGTAATATTTTTTCTGAGTATAAAAATATATATATTCATTGCATAAAATATGTAAGATAAAATACAAAGAAGAATATAAACATTACTCATAAATCTTCGATCTAGAGACTGTGATATTTAGGATACTTTCTCCTGGCTTTTGTGCATGTGCCGAGGGCATGACTTTTCACACATATATACACATATGATTTCTCTTTTTACAAAATTGGAACAATGTTAATGTAATTTTATATTAACTTGTTTTTCCTTATCAGTAATATTCTTTGAAAACATGATTTTTCCACATTCATTAATATTCCTTGAAAACATTACTTTTAATGCCTGAACAAATAGTCCATGGTATAAATGAGCCATAATTTATTTTTTCAATCACTTGCAAATTTGGGGACATTTGAATTTTTTCCATTATTTTCTTTCATTGTAAATAACATGTATTGAGCTCACTTTTACGTGAATCTATTTCCTCATCTCTTCCTGTCTTATTCCAATTGAAACCCATCTCTTTCTCTTGTTTTCATGGGAGGAACGTGGGTACTCATCACTATTCTTTCTCTTTTCTAGGTTTGCCGACCTCAATTTTTAATGTTTTTCTATAATATACTCTTTCAAATTTGAGAGTTAATTTTGTTCTCTCTTCATTTGGTCTTCACACTATCTATACCTTACTTAAAACATCAAAGCTCTAGTGCTTTCATGAAAGCTTAAACAAACTTGAAGGGGATAGATTATAACTATGGTATCTCCACACTGTATTGCTCTTTATACATATGTGGATTATTCCGTAAACTCCTTCATTCTCCAGAAGCCTTTGTGGCTAGGAAATCATTTTTTTTTAATAACCCAGAATGCTCCTGCCTATTATTTTGTGCTTCTGTGTCTTTTCTCTTGATTTTTTAATTCCTTCAGAAGTTTAGGAAAATTTGAAACAATTCTTGAATCTTTTAATGGAATGATGAAATACTATCTACTTTGACAATGATGAAGGCATATACTATGATCATTGTATCGAAAATGAACCGTATATGTTCATTTTTAACCTTTCTTCCCAAATCTGTTACTCCATTTGTTCCATTGCTACCTTCTTCCTCTGCTTTTTGGTCCTTCTCCTTCCCTGTCTTTTTCTTCCCGTTTGCGGGAAAGTGTGTGTGTGTGTGTGTATGTGTGTGTGTATTTGTGTTTTCATTAAATTCCTGTTTTAGGCTAAATTTGGTGGAAAGCCTTCCTTGCTCCGATTAGGGAAACCAGGTGTGACTGAATGCTGCATTTATTTGGTCGCTCTTATGGGGAATGATCTCATTATTGAATTAGTCTAGTCATAATAACATTGACAAGGGGAAGTTAAGAACATGGAGGCCTGAGGGATACAGAGAACCATTACAAATTCTCTGAGGAATATAATTCCTAAATTCAATCATCCTTTTTTAAATGATTTTTTTTATTTAGCTGAAATAAGTAAATTAACACAGTTTTTGGCAGCCAGTATGGGGCCTGCACACATACTGGAAAAACGGGCATCTGAACAATGTAATGCTGACTGGGCATCAATGGATCAGGTGCCGATGAAGCGTTTCTTCAGGAAATAACTGAATGGCAACAAGGCATACCTTTCACAGTTGAACTGGTGAATTACATCCAAGGAAATAGGTATAAGCAGATTGTGACCACTTGGGAGAGGTTCTGCTACTATTACTCTTTATTCTTATATGGATTATGAAAGGAAACAGGCTAGCATGAACATAATAGCCTTGAATGATTCTGTCCTTCTGATCTTGGCTCAGAAGACATCTCCTGCCTAGACTATAAGCTCCAAGAGGCTGTAACTTTGTGTCTCAGAGCCTGGACCAGAGTAAGTGCTCATTATGTGTATTGAATGAATGAACAGGAATATCAAATCAAGGCCTGTTTTGGTGTTGATGAAGGGCTTGCATAATGACAAGTTAGTTTATCTTTAGTTTCCCGAAGGTTTTAACCAGCTGACATGGGTCAGTTTTCTTATAGGCTTATAAGAAACAGTATCTCCCTTGCAGTTCTTTCTTTGTAAAACAGAAAACATTGCAAGAAGGAGTAATGTAGTCCTGCTGTTCACAGTCCCTTTCTCTCTCATTTTCTCTTGCTCTCATATAGACACACTTTATAGCCTAATTTTTTTCCCCTTCTTGTTTTTGGTCAGAACAGGTTTTGCGAAATGAGCTCAATCAATTCTACCAAATTTGAAACCATGTAAAATAAATATAACAGGGATTCCAAAAAAGCCAGAAATAATAGACTGCAGCAGTGTGCCTCAGCATTCCTTAAGCAATGTCTAATCAAGCATGGACAGCATCTGTATTTCCAGCAAATCTCTATAGGAATGTTATCTTCTAACACAGTAATTAATCACTAGTTGCCATGTGTCAGAAAACGTATTTAACAAGAAGTTGCAAAGCGCTTGTAGTTTTTTTTTACTTCTACAGCCTTCCTGGCCAGAGGAAAGTGTCATACCTTTCAGTAATAAAGAAATAGGGATCTGGAGTGATTCCATTTATGTTGATTCTTCTTCTCCTGGTGGTGTTAAATTGTCTGTCTCTTTATACACACATTTCCTCTAACTAATCTCTAACAGGAAGATAAATCTTGGGCGAGCAGAGGATCAAGACGACCTGTAACATTACCAGAGGTACAGAGAGCCCCTGTCCTCTATGGTTGTGATCACTTAAGCTCTGCTATGATTTTGAGCCTTTTGACCCCACTGTTAATTTTCAGACTCAAAAAGATTCTTTGTCCAGGAAAATCACTAGAGATTAACTAGAAAGTAGAAGGGCTTTATGAGTGTGCTTTTTTAGTTCCTTTCATTACAAATCATCTTAACTTGAGCTGTCATGTGCCTTTCCAAAAGTGAGTGTCTGAAGCCCCCTAGGAGTCCAGGTGGTGACAAGAGAGGTCTGAATATTCAACCGTTGAAGTCCCCACGGTGTATCTGGCGATCTTTACAGTTTAAGTGAAGCCATCATTCAAAAAGAATATTCCAGAGTTTTCTTCTCAGTTCTCCCCGTCTACCCCATTTTCCCTTTTGTATCTGTCTCACTCATCTCAGTTGCCTTTCTCTTCTCCTTTATTTCTCCTATTGTACTACTCCTGCTTTCCTCCTTCAAGATTTCATTGCTCCTTGATTCTTTCCCCTTCATTTTGGTCTTCTGCAGACTGGTATCTCTCATTCTTAAATCTGACAAAGGTAAAGAAATGAACGCTAAGGTTCAGGAAGTGGTGAGGAGAAAAATTCTGACACACAAGGCAGCTTCCTCACCCTGGATCAAGGAGTGCTTTTGTTCCTTCAACAAATACTTATTGAGCGTGTGTTCTCTCTAGGTCCTGCTCTCAGGGAACTTGCATTATTGTGGGGCAAGACACAAACTAATAAATGAGTAAACTATAAAGTATGTCAGATGATGTTATATGCTATACTGGCAAACTAGGCATGCGAGGAGAATAAGGAGTGCCAGGTGGAGCTAATCTGAAACCTTGGAGTATTCATGGAAGTCCTTAATGAGATGGTAACATTAGAGGAAAAACCTAAGGAAGAGTGGGAGGAAGCCATGTGGATATCTAGGGAAAGAGCATACCAGGAAAAGGAATCTAAGGGGAAAGACCCAGAGGGAGGAGTATGCTTGACATTTGAAGAACAGGAGAAAGGCCATTACAGATGAAGTGAGTAAGCAGGAAAAGAATAAGAGATGAAGTCAGAGATTTGATCTAAGGAGCTGAGATCTTGAAGCCCGCTATAATGGCATTGACTTTTACTTTGCATGAGCTAGGAAGCTGTTAGCGGGTTTAGACCAGAAGAGCACCACAATCTGAATCACTGTGGCTGCTATGGTGAAAATAAGCAGTTGTGAAGGGGAGGTTATAGGCAAGGGAAGAAGCAGGAGGACCTGTTAGAAAACTAGGGCAATAATCTTCTAGGTGAAAGAGAGTCATGATGCAAAGCAAGATGGTAGTGGTGGAGAGGATGAGATGTGGTCAGATTAGGATATATTTTAAAAGTTGAGCTGGCAGGATTTGCTGAGAGATTAGAAGTGAACCAATGACTCCAAGGTTTTTGTTCTGAGCAATTCAAAGCATGGAGTTTTCATTTACTGAAATGACAATGAACCAGACCGTGGAAGAGGCCAGTTGAGTGTGTGGAGGGCAGAGGGTCTATACAGAAGGGATACCAAGAGTTTGGGTTGAAATATTAGGTTTGAAATATTAGATGTCTGAATAGAGATAAAAAGGAAAGAATTGGATATATTAATATAAACCTAGAGTTCAGGAGAGAGCTGGAGATAAGAGTTT